CAACCAAAGTCATACAAATACCCACAATTATTAGTAATGGTAATGGTTTCCAAGGGTTCCATGGTTTTTGCACAATACTATATTCATAATACATTGCGATCGAAAATAAACAAATGATCACGAGTAGTTAAATACTTCAAATCTATTACACTTCGTATGTTTTATCTTATTATATAATGTATCGCATGTCACAGTTTTTTTTTCCCAATATACACTGAATAACATTTGCATGGTTTGGTTATTTGAAGTTTGTTCTTTTTCTTTGATTTTTTTTCTTCTAGATAATAATCAATGACTAAAGCGCAATCGACAACAAATCAAAACAAAATCAACGTTGAAATCATTTTTCCTCTTAAGAGAATTTACAAATTGTTTCAATCATTTTATGTTTATGATGCTAACACAATTTAATAAAATATATATGTAATTATATTAAAAATCATGTTTGTATATGGTCACAATAATATTAGATCATTATACTAGAATGTATGCATCTTCAAGGTGTAGTCATATATGGTGTAACAGGGCTATTTACAAGCATATACAAACTACGTAATAATTACCGTATGAATATGTCATAATCATTACTTAATTTCCAAAACATTAAATGATTTAAATAAAATATATATTGACTATTTCAAAATACAAAAAAGCTAACAATAGCTTTTCATTTTTATTAATTTCAATGAATTCCTAAAAAGAAAAAGGACAATATCGACAAAAGACGAATAAAATCATCAAATCTCATCGTACTTGCCACTGTCTTCGATGAAGTAAGACATTGTAGTATCTTAACTGGTGAATCTCTGATTATTACATACTATTGTATTGCATAAATAACAAAAGGCACCCTACCGAAAAAAAAAATGAATATCTTCATTATGGCGCAAGCAAACGAGCTCACTTTTTTATCAGCGATGGAGACATATTCAAGCTTTATATCCATAAAAACATACCTAGAGAGATCCTTTGTTGAGTATCACTATTGATCTCAACAAAAAAAAATTTAATTTTTTTACAAATGAGAAAGAAAACAACATATTTAACAAAGGGTCCCTCTAGACATATTTTTATATAATTATTATGGATGATCCTGTTAAAACGTTAGATTTTTAATTTTTTTAATGAAACGTAGTCTAAAAAGAATGTTTAAGTATAGGAGTGAAAATTAGGACCTTCCTGAATGCATTTTTCACACTGTAGACGTACCTGTCATCTTTGTTCTTCGAAATAACTTTCTTCTGCTGACAAATGTTTGCATGTCATTAAAACAAGGTCGCGTTTAAGAAAATTGAGCATTTTTCGGTTAGAAAATATCTTGTGACATACATCATTGTATATAGTTTGCGCTTTAATTTCGTAAATGCTCTGAAAATTTTTCTCGACCGGAAAAAATGGGAACTAGTTACCAAAGTATGATTTCTTGAAAAACCTACAACTAAGTTTCGGGACATTTCTCCTTATGGTGTTGATGGAACTTAGATAGATTTTGAGTGAATCTGAATCATCAATATGGATGGCATGCTCATTTTACTAGGCTCAGCGATTCAAAAAATCACTAGATAAGCATTTTCCCTTTGTCATCAATATTTATTAATTTAAATTGAAAATTTCTTTTTATCCATCGATAGAGCACATGTAGTCAGCTCCAAATATATGCCACGTCTGTCTTCTCATCGGCTAAGTCTTACCAAAAGGCTTATTTTTTTTTAGTTACAGGCATGTTTTCAAAACTAAGTTTTGATTGGGAGATTCTTCACTCTACTTGAAATTCGTAACAAAAACCTTTATGACAGCATGCCTTGAACTATATTTACAACCATTCAGATTGATGGAAAGTTTACTTTCATTTTTCCACCTAATATCTAGTTGAATGTACACAGTGCTCTCCTCGGCCTCAGTGTTACAGATTGGGCATCGATGGGGTTTCTCTATAATGTATGAAATATGTTCTTTTTACATTTGTGGAGGGTTGAGTAAAAAGATGACGAAAAAATATGCTCCAATCCATATAAAAATTGAGATTCAAAAAAGTCACTAGTAAGATATTTCTACTTTACGTAATGAAGTAGAAATGTCTTAATAGTGACTTTTTTGGATCTCAACTTGTACATGAGTTCATTCGTAGTTACGCCACCATTTTCATAGAAGATTTTTTCTTAAGCTAGACATGTTAATGTCAAAAATGAGATTTAGAGATGAAAATCGAACAAATAAATCCTTGAGGTACAACGAACACAGGCAAAGTACAATTGAGTGTGACTAGCTATAGATTGTGGCTTTGATTTGATCAAGATACGAACTTCTGTCAGCTGCTTATAATAAAAATAGAAACATTAAAAACAAAATTTGTCTTTGAAGTTGTTCTAAACTATCGTTAAATAGTGAGTGGATGATTGACAATAACAATAGTCATATTTTGAATGATGACACTAACCTATTGAATACTTGTATCACAAAAGCAATTGCTTGTTACTTTTATCGGGATTTTTTCTTCGTTAAAGATTACTTGTTTTGAAGAAAAATTAAATACTTAGGTGGGTGTTGAAACAATATTCAATTTCTATTTATCAAAAGATCACACCGTGTACTTCTGCACTTTCGACGAATGCGAAAAACATCATATATTCATTAGATATAAAGGGTGTGGGTGTGAGTGACTCCAGTCTTATCACCTACATCAACACCCACACCCTGACTTTATTAAATTTAACCTTAAAACATTACAAGAAGAATGAAAAGTCATGATTAGAATAGGTATAAACCTTCAGATGTTGATCAATGATAACGATCATCAGATTTTAATAACTAATGTATAACTTCTGAAACATGTTTTCAATCTAATGTTAAATTTGAACGTACTTATATGTTTTTTTTTCTGTGCAAATTCTCATATTTTATGTTGAGACTCAGATATTGTTAATAATTTCTCATTCATTGCATGAATATTTATCGACACTTATAGGGAAAAAAAATACGTTTCATATTATTATCGATTTAATTTCATTTTGAAATCGTGTTGTGAGGGATTGAATCACTTCTATTGTTTTGTTTTGTATTAACAGCAATTCTTGAGTTTGGACACAATAAGATAATATTCTTTAATCAAAGCTCACGAAGGAATGTTCTAATCTATCAATGTGCGTTCAGATTGAAATTATTATTATTCGATTGATCATTATGAATAGTGAGAACACCTGTCTTGTCGTTGCTAAATGATAGATATGCTAATGTTTGGCTTTTCACCTGTTAACATAGATTCTTGAGAAACTTGGATTGACCAAATTTCGAACTGAAATTTTGTGCATAAATAGACCTTATTTTAATCCTAAGTTATTCAAAGTTCGAACTAGGATGAATGTATCTCTATTCAGGTTTTAGCTTGTCATGAAAATATTCTTCTGTTGGAAAAGTACGGCCCTGAGCATGGGTTTTTCTTTCAAAAAGTAACTGCTTCGCAAAAATGAGCTTGTTTAGCCTTAGACTCTACCGGTTTTGAAATGATAACGGAATCTTTTTAGAAATAGAATTACAGTCCCGAATTCAACCATGGAAGCTATCAGCAGTCTTATGGGCATACTGCACATCCGATGCAATTGTTTTCACGATTAGGAAGCAGGTTTTTACCGCTGTGAGATGTCTGTAGTCAGAGAACAACCGTATATCAAGTGGAAGTTATCTCTTGTTTTCACTTCTATTTCATACCAATCTTGGACAGGGAGAGTGTGGGTATGTGGTCTTTCTTCATCTGCATACTTACACCCACATCTATGCCTCAAGACGAAATATTTTGAAAACACAGTAAAAAAATCGTTCTTTTCGAGCATAAAACGTTTTTACAAGAAAGTATTTTTACAGGTCGATAGAGGACACTTGAAAGTGTATGTATCGATGAAAAACAAAAAATCAAAAAAAATTTGATTTTCACCTCCAGAAAGGGAAGCGCATACCCTTAACGTGCTCGCAGCAATGTCACTATTTTTATAGAAGATTTTTCTCAAACTGCACATGGGTATGTGATACATGGGATTTGAAGATGGCATTGAACAAATAAGCTCTTGAGATCAACGAAAACACAGACCAAAGTAGAAACAAATGTGGTTTACGATGGAATTTAGCTTCGACTCCATTAAATTGTGAACTTCCCTAAGGCACTCATAGTAAATACATAATTATTAAAAAGAAAATTTGGTCTTCAACTCGTTCGAAGTCATCATTACATAGTGAGACAATGATTGACAATAATAATATTTATGTTTTGAATGATGATATCAGCCTATTGAGTGATTATATTGCAGAAGCAATTTCACATTGCTTTGTAGATGCTTCTTTCTTCTATAAAGATTACTTTCTTGACGAAATTAAGTGCTTAAGACAGCAATGAAGCAATATCAAATTTCTATTTATTAAAGAATCACGTCGTGCAGATATAAAGATGAGTACCGTCCCTAATTTGTTTGATTTTAACGCAAACGATGATTTCGACAATAGTTCGTTGTTTCTTATTCGTTCTGTTCAGGTAATTCTAAAATCTTCTTTTTTTTCTTATTTATCTAATGTCGAACAATGTTCGTTTTCAGCTCTACAGGTTTGATTCATGTTTCGTTTTACATGTTCTACTATTAGTTTATGTGATTAGTACAAGTAAAATCCCAATTCTGTGATGGAATGTCTCAATATGATCGATGTTCATCAAATAGTGCGTGTGCATGCTATCATATAGCAGGCGCTATTGATATTGGTATCTGTGTCGATGTATTCGTCGATTGTTCTGAGCTAGTTACATGTGGAGACTTAGACAAAACTTGTTACGAACCTAACCATAGATGTGTTCGTCATCCTCGTTGTCATAATCGTCCTGTTTGTTATCCAGTGCCAAGTTTCAATCAGAGACTCTGCCCACTAATACCAAGTAAGAAAATGAACAGTGGTCTAGACGCTGGAATGAAAGACGAATTCTTTTAAAGTTATTTTCTCATTGTTCACACATCCTCATGTATGCAGTTTATTTTATCGTAGAAGCGGTAAGGAAGAATTAATGATCCTTTAAAAAAAGAAGTAGCTGAAGTACAACACAGATAAAAAGAAACATAATCATTGAAACAAAAAGATTTCATCTGTCCTTATGAACTATATTCATTGATTTGAAGAAAAATTCGTTGCACTTATATCTAGCAGTGTATCAATATGCCGTAAACCTTGAAGGGTATATGAGGAACCAAAAAAAAAACAATTGAGCGTTTGATCAATCTATGTGATTAGATACTTTAGAACGTATCATATGTTAGAATCTCCAACAAAACAAATCAATTCTAATATATCAAACCAATCTACATTCACAATTTCCTTTGTATACTAGACTCATTCTAGTGAATATTGTGTTTTGCTAGATAGCCTTCTATCAAAATAACTCCGATCGACATTAGTAATTCAAATGTGTATGGAAATTGTTTTTTCATAGCTTACAGTATTATTGACTTAGCTATCTCTTTAAAACACTTACAAGGAGAATGTTTTCGAGAAATGCGAATATAGAAATTCAGACTATCTAATGACGAGATGAATGACAAAGAGAGAGTTCGTAACAATTTATCATTACACTATTATTATCTTCTTTCAAATATCCTTTGAAATTCATTTTATTCACACTGTTGATATAACAGCAGAATATTGGATAGTCTCGATAGATTCAGTAAAATTCAATTCAATTCGCTTTGATTTGATTCAATCGAATCACATCGCATTGAATTATCAAAAATTTTACTGACTTTTCATTCTCTAATGAACGCAGACGTTTTGCGTGAAAGATTAGATATGCAAAATATATCAAATCTAAAATATCTTATTTGTATAAACAAAATTTTCTACGATAATGAATAGCGACGAATAGTACAACGACAGATACAATTGCAAATGCGACAGCAACTACAACCACAACTACAATTACAAGCGCAACCACTACACAAAAACCATGTAAGCATTGTATTAATGTTTTTTCTAATTAATAAGATGCATAGTCTAATATCATGAATGATTCAATATTTACTATAAGTAAAAGCTAGGTTATAGTAATCTTCACGTTAGTTCGTTGTCGTCATTATCGAAGTTTGGTTCGTTTTCTTGATGGCTATAAAGAGCTTCTTTTTAGTTCTCGGTAAAGAGTAAACATGTCATCGTCGAGAAACATAAGATTAATCGAAAATTAATAAACTGATCATTTAGAAAAACCGTTAAAGTAGTTAATGAAAAAATTCTGATTGTTATATGTTCTCTAAAAAGTCTTTAGTGGTGATTCATTGAACATCAATACAATATTCAAATAAATCAAGCACATAAAGAAATACGTGTAATTGGAGATTCGATATGGATAGCGTAGAATACAGGATTTCATACAACCAATCATCTTCTTCCTTTGTTAAGCATTTAGTTAATCAAGGATATCGATTCAAAGTCTGTTCTCACAGTGTTTAGAATAAGATGTTTTCTCACCTATCAGTAATTCTTTCTTTGTTTCATGGTGAATGTGTTTAAGACACTTTTCTTCGTCTTCATCTATACACCTAAAACTCTCTGTTCGAAAGACATATCTCATGCTTCTGGGACTTTAACTTTCTTTGATTTTCGAAAACTTTTCAAATTCTTGATTTCACTTTGAATCTTATCATAGTTTATACTTTTTAAATTCCTTCCAAGTCTTCTACACCTCTGTTTCTTTCCGTTTTCTGTATTTCTTGGGAATTTTTGTGTTTTCTAGACTTCCAAAAATTGTTAGATTCTCTTCTTTTTTTTTATAGGATTTCTCAAGTTCATTAATTTTTTGCAGCTTCCACACAACTTAACTTCATTGAATTCTTTCAGTTGCCAAGATTCTGTAATCTTCTTTATAGAAATAAGAAAGAAATTTTCGAATTAAGCTTATCTCTTCTGTTATAGAACTATCACTGGAGATGCGCCATCAAATAGCTAAGGTAAGAGAAATCTTGCTGTGTTACGAGAAACTTGCATAGATTAGCAATGATGCATGAGTAGATTGATCTCTCTGACTTTAACTTATAAAACACTTGAACACCAGCTTTTCCAATTATGATGAAAAAATACTGTGTTATCTATTTGTTTAACTCTTGTGTCATTTTTTCTCACAATTAAAAAGTGATTCTCATAGATTTGTAATGTAACATAGTTACCGTTATATTTATATTTTCATTTCATGTTTCTATTACTTACTTGATCATAAAAGTTTCTTGATCCTTTTTTCTTTCATTATTATGGTATTAAGAATCTGTTGCTACTTTATTTAACGATCTATTTTTCTTAGAACTATTGAAATTCTATTCTGTTTTGATTCTGGCATGACACAATATATTTGAGTTTAGAAACTTATAAAATAAGAAAAGAGCGCAAGAGAAGTATATAGGATTGAATATCTGAAAATACAATATTGTTCGAAGAAAAAATTGTAACACTCATACAGTGAAAATTCAGCTAAGGTTTTCTATTCGTCTTATAAATGAATAAAACGTTCAGTGTGAATAAAATTGTTTGAATGACAAAGCAATTGATTTGTTTTCTTTGTTAATATTGAGACATTTTTATATTTATCGTGATGATAAAAGAAACTATATGCTTTACACAGTTTCTTTTATTGCATAACAATTCATTAGATAACTAAATGAACATAAAAAAGATAAGAATATATTTCATAAACAACGAATAAAAATAGAAGCTATTGCAAAGTTTTTGTTTTCTAGAAACGTAAAATTTCGATAAGCAAAAAGTAGTAAAAATATAAGATAGAAAAAAAAAAACTTTCATACAGATAGCTCTGAAACTTCAATAATATTTATATCACTGCTTCAGAAAATCATTAGTATAGCCGTGTAGCATAATAACTAATGATTTTAACACAAAATTCATATACAAGTGACTTACATTCACTTGATCTTCTATTTTAAAAATTATTTCGCAAAATAAGTTGAGCTTCAAATTGAAGAATAAAGACTAGTTCTTTCCCTGTTTCAATCGTGTGATTATTTTCTCATATTGTAAATCACTCGATATTATTAATCACTCATGTCATTTTCTAACTTCTTTTTATCATGATTTGTAAGATGCATTGCGGAAAGCTCTACAAAAATTGCTAGACTAATCTCTTACTAAAATTCTTTGATGTTTTTTTCATGTAGTCTAAATAAAATATCTACATATTCTTGCTACTTCCTATTTTATTTAAAATAATGGAAATTTTTCGAAAACCTTTTTCTACTTTTGCAGTGAAAATACATTCGTTAAGAGACTACATTATTATCAAAAATTCTTTTGAAAGCTTTTCTCAAATGTTTTTCCATTCTTTTTTATTAAACATTTTTTTGTAGCTTAAATAGGTGAAGAAGCAACATGTCTATATTGTATTCTAACATAAAACTTCAAATGAACAATAAAACACTTTCTTCATAATGATGTCAACTGAGTACAGTCGATATTGATTGATAGTTCATACGTTACGAAATGAACACAATTACAGTTAGTTGAATCATTTTTATCATCATATCTTCATGTGTTGCTTTACTCCATTTTCTTAAATAAAAGGTAGATTTCTGTAAAAACATGAAGTTGAGATAATTTTCAAAGAAACTTCATTGTAGTCTATGTATTTCTCTCTAATTTAAAAATGTATGTCAAGATGTAAGGTGCAAATGTTTGGAAACATTAAAATTCTCATACCTGTATTTTCTTGAAAAAATAAGAATTAAAAATCACCTGCACTCATCATTTTTGTACAGTTGAAAAGTGCGTTCACTTCTGTACAAAAAACTGTTTCTGATATGCATTTCATTGTGAGAGCAACTGTTGCAAGAAATTAAAACTTATGTAATAGTACCTCAGACTCAGAGTCTTTTTATCTAATGTTAGTGCGTAACATAAAAGCTTTTCTCTAAAGATTCGGAACTTTTACATGCATAGAAACATCATTTTATATGGTGAATAAAACATGATGATGAAATATGTTGAAAGTAACAGTGTTATCTTTAAATAAGACGTATCATTCAAAACAAGATATAAAATGTAATCTTTTGAGACCCTTTTATTTTTGCATTTTGAACTCAGCAAAGTAGAATTGTGTCTTGAAAAAATAAGATTTTCTTGTTGGTCTGATTTTAAATTCTAGATGCAAAATAATTAACAAAAACTGTAATTTTTATGTTGGAAAGTTGTTCACTAATGTTAACTTTCTTTTGAAATAACTCCAAGTTCTATGTTTTTTGTAATGGCATAGTGTAAAGAGATTCTCAGTTTATGGCTTAAAACCCCTATCATAAGTTAACCTTTAGTTTAGGTCGCTTGGTGGAACTGAAATCTTTCAGTATATACAAAAAAGCATACTTTTAATTGAGATTAAGTATCGTTGAAAACTGTGGGTCCGAAGACGAATCTTTTATGAGTTTCAAATGACATGTAAGCATAGATTTTATCTTAACCAGTAAAAATACGTCAGGATAATATTGTGTCTTTTCTTCTCTTGAACTCTTTATCTTCATATTATTTTTAATTTTTCACATCAGAAAACGTGTAAAAAAAAGGAAACCTATATATGAAAAGAAATGTAGCATAAGAATCGATTGACTCTACAAGCAGAGTATAATACGCCAAATAAATGAATTTGTAATGAGCTTAACATTCTGTAGAGAAATGATATGAAGATGAGAAAAAAAAAGAAAAAAATACAGAAATTCTTTAGCATACATTTAACGAATACAAGAAAACGAAGACATAAGAAAACAAATAAAATAGCTTCAATTTCTGATAGTCTTAGTTTTTTTTTTGACAATTCGTGTAGAAGTATGAGCTTTTTATTATCTCTTTCTTAATCTGTCTACAACCATTTCCAAATTCTTTTGAAATTAAAAAGGAAAGCAGTATAATAAATAATTGAATATTTTTAATAGACTTGCTAATATCTGATAATATATCTTTAAAGGAAAAGTTTTATTAAAATCTACATGAATATAATGAAGATTTTTCTTTTTAATTTTTTTTTGAAGTACTCATATTCTTCGAGGTTCTTTCTCGTTCTATCTATTAGTCGATAAAAGGATGTGAAATTTCAATGTTTTCTATTCCATACGCACACTCTATATAAAATCTGTATGAGCAAGTTCTAATTACGAAACAAAAATAGTCATTCAAATACTTCATTCTCTGGAATATTGAACCATTATGGGACGTATTCATTTTGAGTATAAAAGACACCATCAGAAATACTCAATAGAAATTTGTTCTTACAGTTTTGTAGAGTTTTTCATGGCGCATATTGTAAAAAAAAGAATCAAGATTACATGATTGATCTCTACTGAAATATTTGAAAAATACCTAATGTCGCCAAACTTTTGGTACACCCGGTATTAATAGTTATTTGATGACGAGTTTAGTAATAAAGAAAGTCAAAACGAGAAGCGAAGTAAATAACTTTTTGATAGGGTCACCTTCTTCAAAAAATAGACAAAGAAAACACCCATTAGGAAGAGAAATTTGACAATGAATCAGAACTTGGAACGATATTGATTTTATAATAATTTAAATGGACTTTTCACTTTTTCCTTTCTCTCTTACGTTATCAAATGGTTCTCTCGTTTCTCCGTCTATTTCAGTTCATCCATTACGTGGAAGTGCCATTGACATTCATCCAAATGCTTGCTGGAAACAAAATGGTATTACAGTAGCTGGAAGAAAGGAAAATGGCTATGGAACCGATCAACTCAATAATCCATGGGGTTTGTTTGTGGATGATGAACAAACAGTCTATGTTGCTGATCCCAACAATCATCGTATTATGGAATGGAAAAGAGATGTGACGAATGGCCAAGTGGTTGCCGGTGGAAACGGACAAGGAAGTAGAGATCATCAATTGTCTTACCCATATGATGTGATTGTTGACAAAGAGACAGATAGTCTCATCATATGCGATGGTTGGAATAACAGAGTGGTTCGATGGCCTCGTCGAAATGGAACAAATGGAGAAATAATCATCTCCAACATCACTTGTGTAGCTTTGACAATGGACGAGAATGGATCTCTCTATGTCGTTGACAAAGAAAAACATGAAGTGAGACGATATCGAAGAGGAGAATCGGAAGGAACAGTAGTTGCAGGTGGCAATGGAAGTGGAAATCGTCTCGATCAACTCGATGAGCCAACATACGTATTCGTCGATCGAGATCATTCAGTGTACGTATCTGATTGGAACAATCACCGTGTGATGAAATGGTCGAAAGATGCAACACAAGTCATTATTGTGGCTGGCGGCCAAGGACGAGGAAATGATCATACACAATTGTCATATGCTCGAGGATTCGTTGTCGATCAATTAGGCACTGTCTATGTGGCTGATGCAGGAAATGATCGAATCATGCGTTGGCCCAAAGGAGCCACACAAGGAAGTGTCATTATTGGTGGAAATGGCCAAGGAGGAGAATCGAATCAACTCAATTGGCCCTTTGGTTTATCATTCGATCGACACGGCAATCTCTATGTCGTCGATCGCTATAATCATCGAGTGCAAAAATTTAACATTGCCTCAAATGCTTAAAACACTATGCGAATGCTATTTTTATCTTTGCCTTTCAATAAATGTGATTCAATTGCTTTACACTCTCGTTTCTGTTGTATTCACGCGCGACCTTGAACTATCTGACAACATTCCTAGCCGGTGTTTACGGTCAATCCGAAAGACATGATAAGATTTTATAAATGAATAACCCGCTATTTCTCCGTAACGGAAACCCCCTTTTAAAGCTTTGGAGGTAAAATAGAAGATTAGTTAAAGTACAAAAATGGACGTACCTACATTGTATTGGATGTGATGCTATGAATCTAAAAAGAAAAGAAGAATTATATTAATAATTGTAAAGTTATGTAAAAAGAAATCAGAACTCACCTAGATGAGACCTGAAATAGAAATACAATTACTGACTTGAAACTAAAAGCAAGAGAAAAATTTGATCTAAGAGATCAAACGATGAGTAGAAAATGTTTCATTTAATTTTAATAGTTTTTTTTTGGTTTGCTGAATTTTTATACAAAACATCAGAAGTTCTTTATTTATGTATAGTATCTGATAGAGCACCGATTGTTCTATCTAATTAAATATTTTCATTTGATTTAGTTAGGATACATCAAAACCTTAATGAGTTTCAAGAAGCGCAAATAAAATAAATCGTTTTTTCTGTTAAATTTTCAGATGTTCTCTTCGATTAGTCCAAACAATTATCAATTATTGGACAATTCATTTATTTGTATTCATACATTTTATACTTGATCAAATATATGCACATATTTCAACTTTACAAAACAATTCAATAATTTTCGAAAAATCTTTTATTGAATATTTTAAATTCTCTTTTTGAATTATTAGTTTTACTAGTTTGTGCGTAACTTGTATTTATTGGACGATAGAATTTTTTTAATTTTCTTATCAATAGATGCTACATAAATCAACTGAACACTATTTATTAGATAAAGTAATCAATTGTAGTATCAAACCATATAAAAATTAAAAAAAAAAATCTTTGATGTTTCGTAGAAATACAACAAAATGAATAAAATACTAGTAAAATTAAGTGAGTCATTCTATAATTATTTATCTCAAATGATCTTGATGAGTATATAAATATGAAATGAAAAAAAAGTTAAAAACGACATTCACAATTTTTATTTTGAAGTAATTATGCTTGTGGTTGTTATTTGGTTGAAGACCAACCTAAAATAGAAAGAAAATAGAATAGTATTTATTCCGAATATTGGAATGAAATTTCATTGAAAAAACATGAGTATCTATACTCATTTGAAAGAGAGAGAATTTTCTCTCTCTCTCTTTGTTCTCGCATAGACTTTGTATCGTTGATATTAATTAAGTTTTAATCATCATTAATATACATGGATATATATTCAATCATTCATATTATCCATGCATACCAGTAGATTGAACTTAATTAGGGTGTGGGTGTAGATGTGGATGTTTGAGTGTTAGAATGTTCATTTCAACCATATCCACTCACATCCATACTATATATATATAAAGATATCTTTGACTTTATAATAAAAAAGCTGTTAGCGCAATCCCTGCGGGATTAAAATGTGAAACACGATGCAACTGTTGTTACTAATCACCCAAATGTTTTCTTCGATATCTTCGGATCCGTTAATAAATCATTGTTTATTAATTCCTCTGGAGCTGCAACAAGGAAGCAATTGACATATTTCCATCAAATTCTAGCGACATTTAATTGTAGTTCATATAAGAACAGGTTTATCTATTTCTGTAACGGATACTGAGTTTTCTCTGTCAGGATCTGTGAAGAGGAGGGGGTGAGTGCAAATTTCTGCTCCTAAACACTTCAACATTTCTTTCAGATCGTGTTTCACAAAATGGCACCCAGTCAAAGTAAATAATATTATGTTTTAGAAGTTCTATTTAATTTTTTCTTTTCATATATATTGAAATATATTTTTCATAACTCGTTGTTTTTTAACAAACATTCTTTCATTATCAGATGAGTTGTCATTAGAATTTTCTTCATCATCTTCAATTTTGGGTGTGAGTGTGGATTTGGATAAATTGAAGATTAACACCCACACCCTCAACATGTCAAAGTTTTGTTCTTTTTAAGAACTGTAAAACAAAATAAATTTAACTCTTTTTCCAAACCATCTGATGATTCTCTTTGTTGAGATGGAATCTGAACCATGATAATTAGCGATTGCACAAATTTCCCATACCATTCTTTAATACAATGGCTATTTTGTTAATTTCAAATCAATTCTCAAACAATACTTTAATTAATACTTCTATGACATAAAAAAGAGTCAGTTCATCCGCCAAATGGGCGCTAAACTGTAAATCTTGATTAGATCACCTTAATTATGTTTGATAATTTTATTTTTATGAGCGAGACTTTGTTATTTATGTCTACATTTAAAACAGAATTTTTTTTTGTTTGAGAGCGCCCTATTTTTATTTTGCATTGTTGCTATTCGCTCATTATCTTTCATTTTTTTTTATTTTAAATCGTTTTTCGTAACTTAACATTCTTATTATAATAATCATTAAATTAATTGGCGAATAAATCTATTTTATATATTCATGATATCTACAGAAGATCTTATGCACTATTGTATATGCTAATCAGCTCGCAAACAATGATGTTGATTATCTGTCAAAATCATAATTTGATCAATTTTTTGAAAAAAGCTAGAAAGTCTGACACCTGTTATTTTTAATTGCTAAGGTCGATAATGGGGGAGGGGGGTGTCTGTAATGGAGAGGGAGTGGGGAAAACCGCGAAAACTTGAACTTAAAACTTACACTCCCTATTTTCTTCGAAAATATATGTGAGTTCCACAAAATGGTTATTCTTGAATAGTATCATTAAAAGATAATGTATGTTCCGGATTAAATGATAAGTTCACTTTTCTTTGTTATCATCAAATCCATATTACAATGTCACTAGGAAAATGTGCATTTTTTGAGAATAAACACGTCGATGGTAAACGATCTTTTAACCAATCAATAAGTTCCTCTTCATTTTCTACGTTTCCATCACGATATTTGTCATTATTATTCTTTGATATTGCTAATCGTTTATGATACTCTTCATCGTCACGTTTAACATGTAATGATCGAAGATTTATCATATTTTTGACAAGATAAATGGTACTATGACGACTCTTAATTCTGATAAAAAGAACTCCACATTGAATACATAATGATGAATGACATAATCTAATACATTCTTCTTCATTGAAATAATAATTATAACCTCGAAAATCGAGTTGACGAACTGATGAGGTTCTATACTGGAATAATGACATTTGTAAAGATAATGATTCATCTTGACGGATATCTAGACAACGAAGGTTAGGTGCACGATCAAGTAAAACTTGCAATTGATATTGAAAACTATCAGCATGTGAATAGACTATAAGTGTTTCCAGTATATTCACACTTGGAACAATAGACCAAAACTGATCATTAAGAGGAAGTTTTATCCTGAGATCTTTGATATGAGGAAGACGAATGTAGGATGAAATTGGTTGATCAAATAATCTGTAATTCTGTATAGAAGTGATGCTATTATAAAATTCTTGATGATCATAATGGAGATCAGTCAATTTCAATGAATGGGGGAGATCAAGCTCGTCGTAATTTAATGTTTTAGATAGAGTGAAGAGATAAATAGTTTGGTATTCTATAAAACATCGAACAAACCAATGATGTTGATTAGTCCAAAATGAAGTTTGAAATGACTTAAGTAATTTATCAGCACGTTCTTGTATTATATTTTCAGATAAACCAAATGTTCTCTGTTCCACCTGAAGTCGAAGTATTTGAAGCTTAGACAAATAATTACAAATGATTTCTTCCCATTCATATCCGTTAATTGAGCTAAGGGATAAACTGATACTCAAACGGAATAAATTGGGTGTGCTTTAAAGAAATTTCATTAATGAGACGGCAGACACATGGCTACTGTCCAGTTTCAAGTCGATTAATGTTGAAAGAGTCAATGGTATATAGTTGTCATAACTAGACAAGTCAAGATATACATGAAGTCTATTAAGACAAGGAGTACATTCAATCAATGTATGTAGTTGATTTAATTCAGGTCCATGACTAGGTATAGATGCACTTTCAAGCGATGAAGAGATGTTTGTTGGTATTTGAAAAACCGTATGTGCTAGGATGCAGGTATTGAAACTACATTTAATGAGTTTGGGTAAACTCCAAATGCTGTTGATCATTGATTGATATTCACTTTGATTGGCACCACAATTACAGGAATTAATTGTTAAATAAGTGAGATTACATAAATGATGATATTCATCCAAGATTTTCATTAATGTTCGGCATGAACGAAAACCTTCCACTGAAAGTAATTGTGAGTGAATGAAGTGATTAAATGATGGTATTTAAGAAAGAAAGAGATTAACTTGTTCAGGGATATCATAATTGTCAGTAAGACTAAGAGAAATAACTCGTTGAGTAATGAATG